AAAATGAGTGTCCAGCATTTAAAATTTTTAAATTTTTATGCAAAATAGATTCTTGAAAATTATCGTGTTTATTTCAATTAGACTTCATGGAGTGGAATTACAGAACTGGATTCAAAACGAGATTATTTTTATCAGCGCGAAGAAAAAAGCCTAATAACATTAAAAAATATAATAGGTAGAGTAATTTAGATTCTGAATAAAATGAAAGTTAAATATTAATTAAAGTATTTTTAGAGCTCGTGCACTCGATTTGCCTTGTCTTACTAAAAGTATTTTGACTGGATCCCAGGAACACGAGTAAGTAATTAACAAAATCTATTTTATATAAACTAAAATATAAGATACAGAGATTGAAAAATAATTAATAATATAATAGGAAAATTTTGTATCTTGAGAAGTGAAAAAAAATTGTTATGTATAGAATCAATTCGCCATGTACATAAAATATTGACATCTCTGATATCAAATTTGCAGAAACATAGAAACACACAATCAAAAAAAAATATAATGTAATAAATATTCCATAAGGATAATCCTATGTTTAGAAATTCCATCAAGTGATCAAAAATAATAGTGAGTAAAGGTATATACTTATACCGTATGATCGAAAAATAAAACGACGTCCAGTTGGCTTGAAAATGAACATCCATTACATTCCCCATAGGTATAATTTTACATATAAAATAACAGCGATCTTCATTTCATAGCCATCGCTGACGCCGTTTTTTTTCTATAATATTATACCCACAATACTTGTGTATACAATATGTTTGGTTTAATATGTTACCAAAAACACAATATTTTTTTTAAATTTTTAATGCTATTATCACTCAGTCATTAGTACAGACTACAGAGTACAGAACAAGTAAAATTTATACAATAGTGTCTGTTATACCGTAGTAAAAGGCAACGATAATTCACTATTAATATATTGACTTTGGTTTTCCATTACCTATACCTTTATTTATTTTTTAAATTAATCATAAATTTTTCTAGAAAAAATTATGATAAAACTGTTTATATTGATTGGGATCCGCCCAGTTCAGAATGGCACGGATCTGCGACCATCAGATTTATAGAGGTAGGAAGAATGACTTCAACGAGTGGGCACCCAAAAACGTTCTTATACAGGGTGGCGCATCTCATTCGCCTCGGTTGATTATACGAAAACGGAAAGATGTAGGAACAAATTTTTTATGGGTATATGTAGTGAAGCAATGTGCATAATTTAAAATTATTTTGAAATGTACAGGGTGTGTCAGAACTAAGATCCATACCAAAGTTATATTTTTTCTTATGGAACATACACCCGGTATTTTATTTCATTTTTGGATTCTTGGGCGTAAAATAAGGCATTTATTGTAAGGGTTTGATATGTTTAAATGCTTCGGTTTTTGAGATATTTAAAGATATTTAAATATGCATGCTATAATAAAAAAGTTTGTCAACACCCTGTACATTACTTTTCAGAGTTAATTATTGTGCTGGCTTTGAAGCCAGAGGAATACATTTTATTAAAAATTGTATTGCTTCCTTAAATGTATACAGGGGTATCAAAAATTGCTGGTCTATTTTAAATATTTATTTTACATAAAAACTTCGTTATTTCAAATACAACACTATGTATTTTTTAAAATAAGTCGAAGCAGATTTAAATGCTCTTTCAAACTATATTAGGGTTTCCTATACCTATTTAGCTCAGATTTTGAATAAAAAGCGATTTTTCAATAAAATGGCAATCCAGATCGCTGGTGTCGCCATGGCAATTTGCCATGGCATTCATAGTTAGTAGCTATTTTCAAATTCGACATTAATTTATGGACTTTATTTAAATTTATAACTAATTTTTTTTTATTTAATTCACCTACAACAGTTTAGTAAGTATTTATTATTTTATCGAGAAAAATAAAGAAGTAGTTATTTGATTTATATTACGATGACTTGTAGATATATTGGATTTTCTATAAAAGAGCCAATTAAGGCAAATTCATTTTCTTTACTTCCAAGGACCGGTTTCTGTCTAATATATTTTTCATATACCACACTATCAGCTTTGAGAAATAAAAAAAGTAGTTTTTCAAATGAACGCTTGTCAAGAAAATTCCTATTTGGATATCTTTGAGCAAAAACCCTTGAGGCCAACAAGCAATTGTCCTCACAAATTAAAATCACTATAGTAGTAACATATTCATTCCTTCCGCCAGCAGATACTGCTTCATTTTTTTTGATAAAATAATAAATACTTACTAATTAACCTTATTGTAGGGAAATTAAATAAAAATTACTGTTATAAATTTAAATAAAGTCCCTTAATTAATGTCGATTTTGAAAATAGCTACTAAGTGTCACTAGAAAATTGCCATGGCGACACCAGCCATCTTGATTATAATTTTATTGAAAAATCGATTTTTATTCAAAATCTGAGCCTGATAGGTATAGGAAACTCTAATATATTTTGAAACAGCATTTAAATTTGCTTCGACTTATTCAAAAAAATACATAGTGTTGTATTCGAAATAACGAAGTTTTTATGTAAAATAAATATTTAAAATTGACCCGCAATTGTTGATACCCCTGTATACATTTAAGGAAGCAATACAATTTTTTAATAAAGTTTATTTCTCTGGCTTCAAAGTCAACACAAGAATTAATCCTGAAAAGCAATGTACTGGGTGTTGACAAACTTTTTTATTATAGTATGCATATTTAAATATCCTTAAATATCTCAAAAACCAAAGCTTTTAAACATATTAAACCCTTATAATAAATGCCTTATTTTACGCCCAAAAATCCAAAAATAAAATAAAATAATGGGTGTGTTCCACAAGAAAAAATATAACTTTGGTATGGATCTTAGTTCTGACATACCCTGTACATTTCAAAATAATTTTAAATTATGCACATTGCCTAAAATGATATACCCATAATAGTAGTTTTCGTATAATCAACCGAGGCGAATGAGATGCGCCACCCTGTATAAGTAATAACAATTGATAATTTGCAATTTGTTCTAGTTGGTTCTAGAGTTTAATATTGTCTTTTGTCTTATTGGTATAATTGGTATTCCAAAACCATTGATGCTTCCAAAACCAAAGCAGCAACAAGGGTAGGAGTATTTAGGGCAAAAAGTAAATACTCCGAACTAATGGGTACTTCCCCCAGAATCTATTCTATTCTTAAGATTATCAGAAACTAACTTAAAGCGGATCTCAAGAACCTGGAAACTCCATCCGTAACCTGGAATGGGAATCCTCCAACGGTCTAAACATTTTAAAGAAGATATTTAAATAAAAACGAAAAAATCCAAGATGGTGGCGGTTTTTTACAAACTTCCCGTCGAAATACCCAAGTTTTTGTTTATATACCTAAAGGGTGAATAAATAGTATATTGAATTTGGGTAAATACCATTATACCGGATATCGGGTATACCGGGTGCGTCTCAAAAGTGGCTCACCTCTATAACTTTTTTATTTTTTCAGATAAAAAATGAGATTTGGTATGTAAGTATATGACATAAATTAGGATTGATTGACGTATTCAATTGTTTTTGTCCCTTCCTGTTTTACAGGAAATGACTACAAGTTTTGATTTTTAAATGGCACCCTCGGTATTTTCTTTTTATGTGACTTTATTCAATAGAAAATGTCATTCTGAATAGAATGACATATCACATGTCAACTTTTGACATTTTCGCTTTAAAAAAATCGTATTTTATATTTCAATCTAGAGTGCCGTCAATCAAGAATGGCCGTCTTAAAAACACTAATTTTCAAAACAAGGGGCCTTGGAAAAAATAGATTTGATCGTCTAACGTTTTTAGTGTCCTGTCCTAGTCGGTTAAAAGATGCCCAAATTGTATTTTTAATCATGTCTCAATTTTTTCAAACGGAATGAGGGTGGCTTATGAGCATATTTGGAAAAAGCATTTTTTTACGAATAATTTGGTACCACACACTTGGTATTTCGAGTCAAGTTGACTTTATGAACCGCATGTTACAATTTCAAATAAACCAAATGAAAAAATGTCAAAAGTCGACATATCATATGTCATTCTATTCGGAGTGTCATTTTTTATCGAATTAAGTAAAAAAATACCGAGGGTGCCATTTAAAAATCAAAAGTTGCTGTCATTTTCGGTGAAACAGGAAGTGACTGAGAACAATTGAATACGTCAGTCAATCCTAATTTATGTCATGTACTAACTTACCAAATCTCGTTTTTTTATCTGAAAAAATAAAAAAGTTATAGGGGTGAGCCACTTTTGAGATGCACCAATGGGATACACCCAATCATACTCACGTTTTTAATTTAAGGTATTCTAACAATTTTTAAAAACAATTTGTTGTTAAATTAAAATTATTGAATTACTAATATCGTTATTAAAAAATAGGGGTTGATGGTAGAAGGGTGAATATTTAGGGTTGTATATATTTTTTAATGCCACATAAGAAAATAAAAAAATTTGTTCAAAAAGTAAAAAAATGGGGTGGACCACCCTTAATATCATTTAGGGGTATAAAAAATAGGTAACAACCTATTCTCAGACCTATTAAATATACATATAAAATTTCATCAAAATCGGTTAAGCCGGTTTGGAGAAGTATGGCATATAAAACTATTAAAAAAACAACCCCTAGTAAAAAATAGGAGTTGATGGTAGAAGGGTGAAAGGTTAGGGTTTTATGTATTTTTGAATGCCACATCATAAAAAAATTGTCCAAAAAAATAAAAAATCGCCCTTATTACTTAGAGGTATAAAAATAGATATCAACCTATATATTCTCAGACCTACTAAATATACATATAAAATTTCGTCGAAATCGGTCAAAGCCGTTTTGGAGGAGTATGGTAACTGAAACTGACACGAGAATTTTATGTATTAGATTATTCTCTAATCTTTGCTTCGGTTACGTTTACTATATACTACTCTATGTGTACGATGGTCGCAGTCGCCGGTGCTGTGGCAGCAGGAGTCGATTTAGTGCGCGTCCTCCTTTAGGAGAGCACGGTATACTCGTAATATTTACGTTTTATAATACATTGCTTGCGAGTGACGGAATCCATGCGATTACTGTGAAGTATTCGATATTTAAATTCATTATTAACAATCTGGGGAAACGTACGTGTGTTTATGCGTTCTCTTTTTGTGTTTTGCTCTGACAACAAATTATTAATTGTGCACCATGGATGTGGTCTTCAATTTAATTAATGTTAAAACGTTTTTTAAATATTCGTACAACGAAAGGTTAGAATTAAAACAAAAAGGTAGGCCATTGCCAGACCTTGTCATCGAACAACCTTCCTCGAGCAAAGGCAAAAGTTATTATACACGTAAATTTACTAGAGACATTTACTCGAAAAATAACTGGATTTGCGGATGTAACAGAAAAAATGCTTTATACTGTTTTACCTGCTTACTTTTTGGTGGCGGGGATAAAGCTTGGACGCAAGTGGGAGTCACCGATTTAGAGCACTTGACTAAGAAGATGAAAGCACACGAGAACTCTAGAAACCACCTTCATAATTATATGGAATTTATGTTGCTAGGAGCAACCGATTTTAAGGCTCAGTTAAATTCTGCCTATTGGATAAATGAACAGAGGCATAAAGAAAATGTATCAAAGAATAGGTATGTTATCTCGAAAGTGATAAATTGCATTAAATTTTGTGGAGCTTTCGAAACGGTTCTTTTGGGACATGACGAGGGCGATATTCCCCATAATCCGGGGATAGTTCCCGGAATAATAAAGGTTTTTGCTGAAATTGAGGCAACTTTAAGCGAACACTTGAAGAATTCTTCGGTATTTAACGGCTCCTTCAGAGATATACAGAACGATCTGTTACAGTGTATGCTTGAAGTTTGCCAGGAAGAATTGGCCGAAGAAATTAAGAGTTCTCCGTTTTTAGCAATCATGGCGGACGAAACGAAGGACGTTGTTGCCAAATCCCAAATGATAGTAATCGTTTTTAGATATATCCGCGACGGTGAGCCAATCGAACGGTTTTGGAACTACCTTATTCCTGCGCAACGCGATGCACGGGCGCTCAGCGACACAATTTTAGCTATTGTAGATCCCCTAATTCAAGATTCACCCAACAAACTGATTGCGCAGAGTTACGATGGTGCGGCGCCGATGAGCGATCAGAAAACAGGCGTTCAAGCTTTAATTAAAGAAAAGTATCCTTTCGCTCACTATGTACATTGTTACGCTCACCAATTGAAGTCGATTATGTCTAAAGCAGCTTCCACAAATGGACAAGTACGCATGTTTTTTGAGCATTTGCAAACCATTCTCGACTTTTTTAATAATTCGTCGCAAGTTGCAGAAGTGTTGAACAAGATTGTGATGCGAAAGAGTCTTTTTCGATTGGATTTAAATATACGGACCATAAATGTCGTGTACGAAAATAGAAAGTCCCTTATTGAGTGTACGAAAAAAATAGAAGATCGATTCAGTAACGATGCTATCTCTAGTGCAGCCCCCTATATTCGTCGTACATTAAATGATCCGGTCTTCAATTTCTGGCTCACTTTTTTGCATCGTGTGATGCTCCACATAGAAACCCTATCTAATCAATTGGAAGAAAGACAAATCGACCCCAATCTACTAGGCGATTGTATAAAGAAATTTGAACTTAGTATCGTTCAGATTCGAGAAAATATCGATCAGATCATTAGGGAAGCATTAGAGATAAGCGATGAGTCAGCGAACATCAAACCGATCAAACCTCATATCCGTGTTGCTGCTATAAGCGTGTGTCATATTATCATATATTGCGCAAAAGATCGATTTCATTTTAAGGAGCATCTGGTAGTTGCGTCGCTATTCTTTTCGGAAAACTTTGGGAAGTATTGTGGTACGTTTCCCGAGGACAAACTCACTTGCGCGTGTTCCTGTTATCCCTCGCTCGATAAAAACCGATTACGGAATGAACTCTCAATGATTTATTCTCGAATTGATTGCAGAGCGTTAAATGGTGCACTACCTTTTCTAAAATTTATATTGAAAAACAATCTGGGAGATACATTGAGGGAAACTAGGAAATTATTGGAGATTGTGCTAACGATTCCCATGGTAACGTCGGAGAACGAACGATGTTTTTCAACTTTAAAACAAATAAAAACGTTTCTCAGCAACTCGATAAGCGAGGATCGTTTAAATATCATTGGCTTAACAGCTCTTTCGGTGTTATCCATTGAAAAGAAGTTTATCACGGGAATAGGGAATTTTAATGACAGAGTTATTCGAAAATTTGCCAATACCAAAGAACGTAGGATGCATCTAATTTTTAATAGGTAAGTCTTTTTTAAATTTGCAGAAGAATTATTGAGGAACAGACTTTCTAGCTGCATTTTGTCCATTTTTTCGAATTTTGGCCAACAAAAAAAACTGCCACGCTTTTTGCAAGAAACTTACCGAAAAACTATTATAGGTACTTGAAAATAATCGTAAAAATAGTATACCTATATCTGAAAAATCTAGTTTTGATGATATCTGAAAAAAAAATGAAAAAGACTGTTGACTGTCCTTATAGTAGTAGAGGTAAAATTTCGCTTTATTTTTCTGCCGTATCCCCTAATTACATGGTCCCCAGTCGTACTTCCTAAGTAGTATTATTCAAACAATAGAAAAGTTGTAGTACAAAAAAAATCTTCATCTGGCAATGACAAACAAACAGCAGTATATCTACAGCACGCAAGGACATACATGGAAGTTTAAAGTATTTTCGCCATTTAATTTGAATGGGATTCAATTTATTTAACACGTCGTTTCTGGCATAATATTGTAACTCTTTGTATGTAGTTTGCAATACCACCTTTGGTTGAAAATCTTAAAAAAATAGACAAAATGCATTAGTAAGTCTTCTCCTCAATTATACAGGGTGTTTCAAAACAAATGCGAAAAACTTCAGGGGGTGATTTCTTGTTCAAAATAAAGGGTAGTTTGCTTTATAAACGTTGGGTCAAAAGTCAACCATTAGGGAGATATCGCGGTACAAAGATGGCGGAAAAATAATGTTTTTATTTTTTATCTTGAAAACGAAAAGAGATAGACTAATGAAATTTTACGGAAGCATTACTGTTATGAAACCACACTTTCTGGTAATTTTTTCACTTTTTTAAAATGAGTGGATGGGGTTGAAATAAACTACCCCTATCATTCTTGTTAATGAAATTTAAAGAAAAATCTTAAGAAGTTAATCTGAAGATTCTTAATCTAAAAATATTTTTAGTCCTGACATGTAATGCTTTACATTTTATTTTTTAATTTCAAATCGGTGAGTTTTATAAAAAAAATACAAGAGATAAACAAGTTTCTAAACAAACTAAACTATCCAAATTAATTTTTTTGCATGTGTATGATAAGATTTTTCTTTAAATTTCGTTAACAAGAATGATAGGGGTAGTTTATTTCACCCCCTTCCACTCGTTTTAAAAAAGTGAAAAAATTACCAGAAAGTGTGTTTTCATAACAGTAATGCTTCCATAAAATTTCATTAGTCTATCTCTTTTCGTTTTCAAGATAAAAAATAAGAACATTATTTTTCCGCCATCTTTGTACCGCGATATCTCCCTAATGGTTGACTTTTGACCCAACGTTTATAAAGCAAACTACCCTTTACTTTGAACAAGGAACCACCCCCTGAAGTTTTTCGCATTTGTTTTGAAACACCCTGTATATACAGGGTGTTCCAAATTCGACTGGTATCTATGAAACTGTGTGAGAAAGAGATAAAGGGTGGCGTAAATTTTAGCAATGTTGCCTGTTGATAGGTCAGCGCAGTGATAATCTGTTTAGCAATTGTACTCAGGGGCGGATCCAGAATTTGGGAAAGTGGGGGGACTAGACTCAAAACTTTACTGAAAGTATATACATCAGAGTCGTTTGTGACAAAATAAATTAATAATATCGTTTATTGGGGTTTGAGCCAACAACCCCCAACCACTCCCCGAGGATCCGCCACTGATTATACTTTTATCTTTGCCATTTCAAATTTCCCGATTTCGTTTTTATTTTTTTACCAGTTTATTTTGTTAGAAAAAATCTATGCAGTTATTCTCAAAGAAACTTTCTTAGATTCATCCTTTGGTGACGCAAAATATCAATTTATGGCCATTCGTTTTTCTGGAACCATCATCAACTTTATTTTTTTTAAATACGGATTGGTTTTTTATTTCATTTTTTAGAAGCTTAACTAACAAGGGGGATTATTGTAGTAATTTCACTTTGAATTTTCTTTACAAATATTTAAGATGTTCCCGTAGATTTCTGTGTTATTATCGGGTTAATTATTATAGTTTACGAATATTATTTTTGTGGGTTATTTTTTTGATATTGATTGTAGAGGCTGTGCAATGCCTTCTATTAAAAGATCAGCCTACGGGCGGACTTTTGTTTACTTCATCAGCTGTACATACTTAGATATTGGGTTAGATTCCGTTTCATATTTTGTCGGTTGATTTTTGGTTTTAACTCTTTGATTTTTGGTATTATTTATTATTGTAGTGCAAAAAACTAATTATTTTGGTGTTGAAGTGACATAAACTACTACCAGATATATGGTCACTCTCGGTTTCGCACAAAAAATAGAAATTTTAAAATTACACGTTGTGCAAGTGATTTAACCTAAAAGTGCCCATACATTTTTACTTATCGTGATTTTTGTGTGTGTTTTTAAGACTCTAACAATTCATCAATAAAGCTTAAGTGGAGTGTGTTATTGGTGCTATGCCTCATCTTTGTTGTGTTCCTGGTGGAAAGGATGGTTACTAAGGATAGTTATTATACTAGGCAGCCTAAAGTGTCCGGAAGAGCAAGAAAAGTGGGTACGAGTTATAAATCAAGAGAATTTTATTGAAAATATCTTTAATAAATTTAAAAATAATATTCTCCCATGATGGTATTAATGAAAACTGGACAATTATGTTTATTTTATTCATATTGTGGAATCTCCACTCCAAGTGTTGCTGGTTCAGCTTCGATAGATTCAAACACGTACGTAGGTATTATGATCTAGGGAAAATAAAGAATATGTGTATTAGAGATCATGAAAAAGATTATTATTTTGAGTTCAAATTTTAAAAAAGATTTTGTAAAGACAAGACTGATACAGTTTAAAAGAAGAATGTGTTTTTTTTGATAATATATAATGTATGTTAAGCATAACATATATTTGTTCAGTAATTTTTAATGAATAGTATTGATTATTTATAATACCAAATTAATATCAAATATTTAAGTGATGGTTGAATACAATATGAATAAAATAACAATAAAATTGGTATATTTGCATAATACAAAATTAAGTTTTAAGAATAAAGGTGTTACTGAAAATACTAAGAAATTCATATTTCTTTGTTTTAATTGGTCTAATGTTATTTACATTTTACGTAAGAATTATACCGTATCATCGAAAAAAATCGGCGTCTAGTTGGCTTGAAATGAACATCGATGACATTCCCTAAATAACTGTACACATAAAATAATTAACTAGAATTTTACAATCTTGGAAAATTTGATATTCTTGAACCTTGATTCTAAATATTCTAAATTTTTTGATTTTCTTGGAATTTAGGTTCGGGAAAAACGCTGATTGATTTTTCATTTGGTTTTTCATTATTTTTATTTGGTTTAAAAAAAACGGTTCGGCTAACATTATAGCCTCCATCATTGTTGTGTCATATGAAAAAAATAGTGTCGAATATAATCCAAAAAATTGCATATAAAATATGCACACCACGCACATAATGTTTACTGCGTACTCCATAGTCAATGTAGATAATTTTAGTGTTAAGAATAATAATTTTAAAAATATGTGGTCATCTTTTGATAAGTTTATATTAGTTTATTAATTGCAGTAAACATTATGAGGTGTGAATTATATTGTATATGTAATTTTTGGATTATATTCGACACTATTTTTCTCATGACACAACACTGTGAAGGCTATAGTTAGCCGAACGTTTTTTTTTAAACCAAATAAAAATAATGAAAACCCAAATGAAAACTTAATCAGCGTTTTTCCCGAACCTAAAATCCCAAGAAAATCAAAAATTTTAGAATAATTTAACATATAAAATGCCAGCGATCTTCATTTCATAGCCATCGCTGACGCCTTTTTTAGATAATATTGTATTATTTGTAAATATAATTTTTCGAACATTGATACTTGCAAAATATACATATAAATTTTGTGAATGCAAATAATAATACATCACTATTAGTAGATATTCAATGTTTTTTGTTAAATTAGATCGATTTTCAAACCCCAAAATTTAAAATATATTTACATTTTACCCATTATCTTATGTACCTATACATTATTTGTACATTGTAAAACATTTGCTGCATATGTATGGTTCATAGTTTATTTGCCAAAGTATTTATTACTATAAATAGGTATATATGTTGTAGTTATTAACTGTATATTATGTATATTTCATTTAAACTATATCATTTTTAAAATACAAACCAAAAATCTGAGGAATAATTATGTTTTCCATGTATTCTACAACATATTTATTAATCCGTTATATCTAACTAGCGTGACGTCATAAATCTCGCCCGTAGGCTGATCTTTTAATAGAAGGCATTGGGCTGTGGTAGAGGTTTAAGGAGGCCTTTCAGTGACGTAATACACGTAAACCAGCCCGTTGAAAGCTCGCACGTAACCAGCGCATTGATTTCCGTGATGAAAATTATTTTATACTCAGCCCTTTGCTCAGCCCTGGCTATTCTTGGAGTATTGGCAACACTGACAAGTAGTTAAATGTTTCTGTGGTTGAAATGGAAAATGTCAAATCAAAAATCAACTATCATCAGCTGTTTGTGTTTGCGTAAATTACAGTGTTTTTTAATTTCAATTTTTTTTTGTACGGTGTGGAATTGAGATAAATTAAACATGACTTTATAGTAACGGCTCATTGCCAAGCTTGTAAAAAATAGCCGTTATAACGAAAACAAATAATCATTTCATCGGTAAGTACCTTATTCGGCGTCAGCGAGTTATTACTTTATTTTTTTATTATAAACAACCACTTCCTAATTATTTAGGTGGTGTTATAAAGTAAACAATTAGTACATTTACTTATTTACTATCTACCGTGCCCGGTGAACCGTAATTAGTGTAAAAGCTGAAAGCAGTTTTTTAGGTGCATTTTAATTCAAGTGACGACTAGAAAACTAAGAAAATTTTGAAAGATAAAGCACATAGATAAGTTTATGGCTTATAAGACCTTTTACCGACCTTTTTAAGACTCAAATTATCTCAAATAAAGATTTTAGGAATAGATTA